TGGTGGCTGTTGTAAATATTGTTCTTCTATTTATCAATTCCTAACGCCGATTATTTCCCCCACTTCTCTTTTTAAGAGCACCTATATGGTGATGTATACTTGTTTATCTTATTTCTTATTGTTTTAATCATTGTTCAACAGACAAATTTCATTTTTTCTCCAATATGTATAATTTTATCCATGTTTTTAGAAATAAATATTAAACCACGTATTCGCGCTTAGGGGTGTAGATATCTAGGACCAATATATAAATTGTTCCCATTTTATGTAGGAATGCTGTGTCAGCATTTATGAATTGTTATCTCGTAAATTGAGTCAATACACAACCATTGTTGTCTCTTATAATATATACTAGATATATAGGTTACACAACAAATAAATATGAGAAATATTCGGGCTTAACATGTGGTAAAAGGTACAAACACACAAACTTTAGCGAGTGTTTTCTGAATTTTGGAATAATAACTATAGATAATGAAAGAAACACTATACAAAACAACCTTGAGTTAACGATAAATTGACATTTTCTATGTCCAATGTTTTCAATCTTTACCAGAGTTGTCGTTCCTTAACAATCGCAATGTCATTGGAATACCGCAATGCACTCTGGGAGATATTGTTGTGTTTTGTTAAGATATCAGTTCGGCGTAAATGATAAGACCTTTAGCGAAATGCAGCTTATTACTCTACAATTTCGGAAATATGAGGGAAAAATACAATTTATTACAAATCATAACAAGTAATTTGAAATAGTTTATCATCTTCAAAGCGATAAATCGAAAGAAATTATATACAAATCAAATTATCACAAAAACAAACGCGTACCACGTTTTGCTGTCGTTCATTTTCGCGAATGATTAAATGCCCTTCCCGTCAAATTTCACACGTCTGTCATACATTAGTATTAAATTGTCGCCCAGTGGAGTATGTTACGTTTGGACGTTTTGGGGATACGGAAGGATACATGTTGTCAGTGTTGATGTTTATGTCAAATTTACCACCATTAATCCGTCCTCCAAACACAAAAATAAATTAATATAAAGGCGTGTCGGTCTTCGCCACCACTGTAGATATTCGGCATGATGACGTGGGCAAGCAAGTAGCAATCCCGGTCAAAGTTTGTCGTATCAGCCAATCATAACACCTTAAACGCTCATAACATGTGTGATTTAAGCTTTTTTTTAATTAACAGTTGTAATGATGACTTTACCTTGATAAGTTGAATACCATCCACCTATTGTGGTAGAAATAGCAGTACTTTATAAAATACTCTATATAAACCACACATTGTCACCAATCAACCAATGTTGTGGTCTATTAGTAGGATGTGTTACCTGTATGTGCTTCAGACCGATTTATCTCAATCGTTGGCCAACATTCTGTAACAAAACCTTATTTGAGGTCACAGAATATGAACCCGGGACCGAGATAAGTCGATTTCGAACATACACAGGAAATGAATGATATTTCTAGTATGTCATCGTGATGCGTCAAATGTCTCGATCGTTCAGGTGCCCGATAAATCTGACGAGACCTGTTAACATGTCCATTGAACCTCAATAATATTTTTAAAATAAAAGAATTAGATATTGCATGTTCTCAACCAGCAGGAACCGATTAAATGCACATCATTTCATTTTTATTTTTTGTTTCTCACCATTTTCTTCTTCCGTGGAACGGTTGAATGTGACGTCATAGGTTTTGTGACATCATATGAACTTGTTGGAGATTCTGTTCTCCAACTGATGGATGTTGAACCTGCAACTGACATGATCAGACTAAAGTGTCACCATCTAGAAGCTGAACTTTACGAATGGCTTTTAATCCTCGATCCCGGAATATTTTTTCCTCAGTCGAATGTATCACACTTCAATCATTGGATGTTTTACTCCGAATCCACACTCACGGAAACGTCAGATGTTAGAGAAATATTCCATTGAGTTCCAGGAGTAATTTATTACATGCATGTAATGTCAGCCGTTACTTGTATGTTTTTTTCTCGTTCCTTCCCATAGAACAATGATAGACACAACAGTAGTTACTATATACACACTGAGTGTTACTGTGTATGGGGACATATACAAAGCACTACCGGATTATAATATAAAGACTTAGTAAGTTATAATATAAAGTCTTTAAGATTAAACTATAATCCATATTGATATTTAGATAGTCTATCTGTAACGGAATGAAAAAATAATTAGAAAATAATACGTTTTCTAATCTCTTTGTGTTTGACCTTAATCGTGTAGCTGTTGGGGTTAACGCTATAGTCAGAATGAGGATATATTGTTGGTCGAAGATTCCAGACTAATAAATGTTAATACCCTAAACCTAGGTTCAGGAACGCCATGTAGCATGTAGTTTGGTTTAACATTGTGGGAAACCTTTCACTGAAGTCACTGAACAATGGTAATCATTGACAGCCGAGATCATCAGCAGCGGTCATTGGAAAATGATAAATGATTTTATATGAAAATAAATATGGTGTTGGTTGTATACTTACCGACTCAGAAGCTTTCAAAAACTTACTCGAAAAAATCTAAAGGAGGGGAGAAGAGGTGGGGATTAGATGGAGGGGGGTGGGGTTAGAGGTGGTGAAGGGAGATAATTACGCTTTACGATAAAAAACCATTGGTCTAAAACAGTAACATTATGAAGATTTAAAAAGATGTGGCTTTCAGGAAAAACAGCTTCAAACCGATAGAAAAAGGAAACAACGATTATCGTAAATGTAAATAAAATGTCTTAATTTCTGATTTTTTTAAAAAAAAATTAAAACTTCCTATGAATGTTTCTTTGGTTGACACCGAGATAATCGATATGTGATATCAACCGTTGTTTATTTACATCTTCAGAGAGAAGACGATTCTAGTTACGTTCTAAATGTAACAACATTCGGTCATGGAACTTAAGCAGTAAATATGTATCTACAGAGATTGATAAAAACATTGAAAACTTTGAAGTTTGACTTAGGTTTGGTATAACACAAGAAACAGCAGGTCTCGGTACCAGTCGTGTCTTCATGAGTAGCCATACGTGTAGGGGGTGGGGGCATTTACAATGTGAATGTCCCTTGTTCTTTAAGTTCCACATATCATTATTCTTGGCCATAAGTTAGAGGCCATCATTTTCCTTCTGAAAAAGATAACCATATCGTTCTCCTTGCAGTGTTTGGAGTCGTATGCCACCAAGCGATACATCCAACTTAACGATCATCCGGATTAAACTCGGGTACGCCGTACTCTAACGAAACAAGTTTTTTTTACAATAAGGAGGGTTTGCATGTGCTCCATGCCACATCAGAAATTGACAACTGCTAAAATATTTCGGTTAATACAGCGTCGGAACCAGATCAGACGTCCCTGTGTAGGCAGGCAAGACAAGTTGCATTTACAACAATACAGAAGACAATGGAACGTCATTATTCACGTAAGATGGCGTACCGTCAAAAGACGTTTGAGCGAGTGTTGATTTCACTCCTGCCGACAAGTAAAACGTCCTCTGTTGACATGGTCAGATCATTCGACCTTCACTTGTTCCTAATCTCAATTCCCATCGATTGGCAGATCGGCCTCTTATAATGGACGGCAATGCCAAACCATGTAATACAGAGTCCGTCTAGTACAAGACTATCAAAGAGGAAGTGAGAGAGATGCTCCCATGGCGTGCAATGTCACCAGAATTCATCTGAGCACGTGTTTGATTATCCCAGACTAAAAGGCATTATAAGGGATCCAAAATGAAGAAGAAAAAAACCGGAAAATTACGGGGTGCATTTATTCAGGAGAGGTTTCCTCACTTCGGCGTCTGGTTAATGGTGACACAACAGACACAGGAATTGTACCAGGAGCGTGATAGCTATTCCAGATCTTGACATTTTCATACCCAACATAACTCGTTTATTAGTTAATCTTTTTGACACTCAGGGTCAAACGTTTTTTCTAGACTTTGATGACGCCTGTTTGAACACGTCTTTTTAAAATGAAGTACTTCCACTTCTGTAAATTTCTTTTCCTATCGACTGTGTATAGTTTTGTTAAGTACAGCTAACGATATCAAGCCCAATTCAAGGCATGGGTCGTCCGTAACTTATGGCCAAGTGTATATGATTAATCTGGTGCTGTCAATACCTGGATTATCGATACAGACATGCAAACCCAGGATCACTTTTGCAATATGCCCGTCCGATCGGCGGTTCACATGATAAAGCTGATCGACACTTGACATTTTTGTATAGAATGTATTTGATGGAGACAAGAGTGGAAAGCCACACTTGTGACACGACATTCGCGTTGTTTTGGTGTGTCAATATTGTGGTGACGGATTAATACATCTGTAAACGTCAGTCTATCTGATCGTAATGTGCACATTTTTGAAAGTAGATGGACAACACTGCAAGCCCGTAGCGCATGCTGCTTTGCGTCAATGTGTTAAACGCCCTTGTACTTCTACATACTTAGTCAATTGATTCAAGCGCGCAGCTGACGCGTTTTTTTTTTTTTTTAAATAACACTCGTTAAACAAGAGAAAGACCAGTAACCTGTTTTATTATTGTGTGGCTAACAATCTTTGATTCATCACTTCTCTGCTGTTCGTCTTAGCCATCAAATTGCACATGTAATTATAATTGTGCTAATTAAGTTGAATAGTTGGAATGGTTTTATATTCCTGATTATGAATATTTGTATCAAAGACATTAAATGTGTATTATATACTACAACATATAAAGGGCGTACTGCTATCGGCCTCAATTCTTACCTTGATCAAACCGATATAGCATAAATCATTTAAAGCGAGATACTTCTAGCAAGACCACAGGTACTGTACATTTACATGATGAGCATGTAACACATGTTCTGATTCGAGGAAATATCTATATTTATTTTGACTTCAATCAAACAACGTCATGTATTAGACAGAGAAAAATATAACAAAATGTTCGCTATATATTTAACAGACAATTCCATTCAAGGTCACACACTATCGCCGTCGTCCTTCTATGGTATACTGAGTTGGTATTCCAGGCGGCTTATAAAGTTTTCCTTCTTTGATATGATATTTGTTAGCTGAATGACGATAGCTGGTTCTGTGGAGTTACTCGCCAACAAGCTCGTCATTAAACTGAAACAATACAAGCGCGTCATTAAAAATCACACAGTTTACTGAAACCACACTAATATACGTCAAAACCACACGAGATATCACACTAAAACATGTCATCAAATGTCACACAAAAAACACGTCACTTTACACCACACCAAAACACGTCACTTTACACCACACCAAAACACGTCACTTTACACCACACCAAAACACGTCACTTTACACTACACCAAAACACGTCACTTTACACCACACCAAAACACGTCACTTTACACCACACTAAAACACGTCACTTTACACCACACCAAAACAAGTCACTTTACACCACACCAAAACAAGTCACTTTACACCACACCAAAACACGTCACTTTACACCACACCAAAACACGTCACTTTACACCACACCAAAACAAGTCACTTTACACCACACCAAAACACGTCACTTTACACCACACCAAACATGTCACTTTACACCACACTAAAACACGTCACTTTACACCACACCAAAACACGTCACTTTACACCACACCAAAACACGTCACTTTACACCACACCAAAACACGTCACTTTACACCACACCAAAACACGTCACTTTACACTACACCAAAACACGTCACTTTACACCACACTAAAACACGTCACTTTACACCACACCAAAACACGTCACTTTACACCACACCAAAACAAGTCACTTTACACCACACCAAAACAAGTCACTTTACACCACACCAAAACAAGTCACTTTACACCACACCAAAACACGTCACTTTACACCACACCAAAACAAGTCACAAGTCACTTTACACCACACCAAAACACGTCACTTTACACCACACCAAAACAAGTCACTTTACACCACACCAAAACACGTCACTTTACACCACACCAAACATGTCACTTTACACCACACTAAAACACGTCACTTTACACCACACCAAAACAAGTCACTTTACACCACACTAAAATACGTCACTTTACTCCACACCAAAACAACTTTACTCCACACCAAAACACGTCACTTTACACCACACCAAACATGTCACTTTACACCACACTAAAACACGTCACTTTACACCACACCAAAACAAGTTACTTTACACCACACTAAAACAAGCCACTTTACACTACACCAAAACAAGTCACTTTACACCACACCAAACATGTCACTTTACACCACACTAAAACACGTCACTTTACACCACACCAAAACAAGTCACTTTACACCACACCAAAACACGTCACTTTACACCACACCAAAACACGTCACTTTACACCACACCAAAACACGTCACTTTACACCACACCAAAACACGTCACTTTACACCACACCAAAACAAGTCACTTTACACCACACCAAAACACGTCACTTTACACCACACCAAACATGTCACTTTACACCACACTAAAACACGTCACTTTACACCACACCAAAACAAGTTACTTTACACCACACTAAAACAAGCCACTTTACACTACACCAAAACAAGTCACTTTACACCACACCAAAACACGTCACTTTACACCACACCAAAACAAGTCACTTTACACCACACCAAAACAAGTCACTTTACACCACACCAAAACACGTCACTTTACACCACACCAAAACAAGTCACTTTACACCACACCAAAACACGTCACTTTACACCACACCAAAACAAGTCACTTTACACCACACTAAAACACGTCACTTTACACCACACCAAAACACGTCACTTTACACCACACCAAAACAAGTCACTTTACACCACACCAAAACACGTCACTTTACACCACACCAAACATGTCACTTTACACCACACTAAAACACGTCACTTTACACCACACCAAAACACGTCACTTTACACCACACCAAAACACGTCACTTTACACCACACCAAAACAAGTCACTTTACACCACACCAAAACACGTCACTTTACACCACACCAAAACACGTCACTTTACACCACACCAAAACACGTCACTTTACACCACACCAAAACAAGTCACTTTACACCACACCAAAACAAGTCACTTTACACCACACCAAAACAAGTCACTTTACACCACACCAAAACACGTCACTTTACACCACACCGAAACAAGTCACTTTACACCACACCGAAACACGTCACTTTACACCACACCAAAACACGTCACTTTACACCACACCAAAACAAGTCACTTTACACCACACCAAAACACGTCACTTTACACCACACCAAAACAAGTCACTTTACACCACACCAAAACACGTCACTTTACACCACACCAAAACACGTCACTTTACACCACACCAAAACAAGTCACTTTACACCACACCAAAACACGTCACTTTACACCACACCAAAACAAGTCACTTTACACCACACCAAAACACGTCACTTTACACCACACCAAAACACGTCACTTTACACCACACCAAAACACGTCACTTTACACCACACCAAAACACGTCACTTTACACCACACCAAAACACGTCACTTTACACCACACCAAAACACGTCACTTTACACCACACCAAAACACGTCACTTTACACCACACCAAAACACGTCACTTTACACCACACCACTTTAAACACGTCACTTTACACCACACCAAAACACGTCACTTTACACCACACCAAAACAAGTCACTTTACACCACACCAAAACACGTCACTTTACACCACACCAAAACACGTCACTTTACACTACACCAAAACACGTCACTTTACACCACACCAAAACACGTCACTTTACACCACACCAAAACACGCCACTTTACACCACACCAAAACACGTCACTTTACACCACACCAAAACACGTCACACTTTACAAACCAAAACAAGTCACTTTACCACACCAAAACACACACACACCACACCAAAACACGTCACTTTACACCACACCAAAACACGTCACTTTACACCACACCAAAACAAGTCACTTTACACCACACCAAAACAAGTCACTTTACACCACACCAAAACACGTCACTTTACACCACACCAAAACACGTCACTTTACACCACACCAAAACACGTCACTTTACACCACACCAAAACAAGTCACTTTACACCACACCAAAACACGTCACTTTACACCACACCAAAACACGTCACTTTACACCACACCAAAACAAGTCACTTTACACCACACCAAAACACGTCACTTTACACCACACCAAAACATGTCAACACCAAAACACGTCACTTTACACCACACCAAAACACGTCACTTTACACCACACCAAAACACGTCACTTTACACCACACCAAAACACGTCACTTTACACCACACCAAAACAAGTCACTTTACACCACACTAAAACAAGTCACTTTACACCACACCAAAACACAAGTCACTTTACACCACACCGAAACACGTCACTTTACACCACACCAAAACACGTCACTTTACACCACACCAAAACACGTCACTTTACACCACACCAAAACAAGTCACTTTACACCACACCAAAACAAGTCACTTTACACCACACTAAAACACGTCACTTTACACCACACCAAAACAAGTCACTTTACACCACACCAAAACAAGTCACTTTACACCACACCAAAACAAGTCACTTTACACCACACCAAAACAAGTCACTTTACACCACACAAGTCAAACCACACCAAAACAAGTCACTTTACACCACACCAAAACACGTCACTTTACACCACACCAAAACAAGTCACTTTACACCACACCAAAACACGTCACTTTACACCACACTAAAACACGTCACTTTACACCACACTAAAATACGTCATTTTACTCAACACCAAAACACGTCACTTTACACCACACCAAACATGTCACTTTACACCACACTAAAACACGTCACTTTACACCACACCATAACAAGTCACTTTACACCACACCAAAACACGTCACTTTACACCACACCAAAACAAGTCACTTTACATCACACTGAAACAAGTCACTTTACACCACACCAAAACAAGTCACTTTACACCACACCAAAACAAGTCACTTTACACCACACCAAAACACGTCACTTTACACCACACCAAAACACGTCACTTTACACCACACCAAAACAAGTCACTTTACACCACACCAAAACACGTCACTTTACACCACACCAAAACAAGTCACTTTACACCACACCAAAACACGTCACTTTACACCACACCAAAACAAGTCACTTTACATCACACTAAAACAAGTCACTTTACACCACACTAAAACAAGTCACTTTACATCACACCAAAACAAGTCACTTTACACCACACCAAACATGTCACTACACCACACCAAAACAAGTCACTTTACACCACACTAAAACAAATCACTTTACACCACACCAAAACACGTCACTTTACACCACACCAAAACACGTCACTTTACACCACACCGAAACACGTCACTTTACACCACACCGAAACAAGTCACTTTACACCACACTAAAACAAGTCACTTTACACCACACCAAAACACGTCACTTTACACCACACCAAAACACGTCACTTTACACCACACCAAAACGCGTCACTTAAAAGAGTAACAATTAATATTACAATTAACAAGTCACTTAATATCGCACTAAACCATCTCATGAAATATCAAATTAAAAAAGTCACTGAACATCACACTGAGACATGTCACTGAACATCACACTGAAACATGTCACTGAACATCACACTGAGACATGTCACTGAATACATAATTGAAACATACCATGAAATATTACACAAAAAAAGTCGCTGAATATCACACTGAACATCACTGACATCACACTACAAACATGTCACTGAACATACACACTGAAAAAGCCCCTTTATATCACACTGAAACATGTCACTGAACATCACACTGAAACATGTCACTAAACATCACACTGAGACATGTCACTGAACATCACACTGAGACATGTCACTGAACATCACACTGAGACATGTCACTGAACATCACACTGAGACATGTCACTGAACATCACACTGAGACATGTCACTGAACATCACACTGAGACATGTCACTTAATATCACACTGAAACAAATCACTGGACATCACACTGAAACA